CAGCCTGTCCATGGCCATGGCCGCCGTGCTCTCGCGGCGTCTGGGGAAGCGCTCCCTGCTCGGCACCCGCGTGGCCGCTCCCGATCCCGCGGGATCCCAAATCCCGGAATTCTCCCCGCACGACCACGGAGCCAATCCCGAATTCCCCGATCCCGGATTCCTGAATTCCGGATCTCCAAATCCCGGATTCCCGAATCCCGGAAGCCTCCGGCAGCTCCATGGGCAGCAGGTACGTCCTGGGATGGGGGGACATAAAAATTCCCGGGTTTTTCTGGATCCAGAGTTTTTGGTGGGTCACGGGATCAGTTTACTTTGGAGAAATCCCAAATTCTGGGAAAAAGTGGGAATTTTTGGGGGGATAAAGAAGCGGAGCTTGATGTGTGTCCCTCAGCTGAGGAGGATTTGGGAATATCCAAGATTCCCTTCCATGAGCTCCTCTGGGTTTTCCAGTCCAATCCCAATTAAAGTTCCCACATTGCAATTCCGAGGGAATTCCGTGTCCCAGTTCCAATCCCAAAGGAATTCAATCCTCCACATTCCAATCCCAAAGAAATCAAATCTCCCAAATTCCAGTCCCTTGGGAATCAAATCTTTCAATCCTAATCCCAAGAAAATTCGATCCCCCAATTCCAATCCCGAGGGAAACAAATCTTCCAATTCTAATTCCAAGAAAATTCAATCCCCCAATTCCAATCCCTTGGGAATTCTATCTCCAAATTCCAATCCCAAAGGGATCAAAACACCCAATTCCAATCCTGAATAAATTCGATCTCCCAATTCCAATCCCTTGGGAATTCTGTCCCCCACATTTCAATCCCAAAGGAATCAAATCTCCCAAATTCCAATCCCAAAGGAATCAAATCTTCCAATCCCAAAGGAGTCAAATCTCCAAATTCCAATCCTTTGGGAATTCAATCTCCCACATTCCAATCCCAAGAAAATTCAATCCCTCAATTCCAATCCTTTGGGAATCAAATCTCCTAATTCCAATCCCAAAGGAATCAAATCCCTCACATTTCAATCCCAAAGGAATTCTGTGTCCCAAATCCAATCCCATGGGAATTCCATCCCCTCATTTCAATCCCAAAGGAATCAAATCTCTCAAATTCCAATCCCTTGGGAATTCCATCTCCCCCATTCCAATCTGAGATTCTGGATCCTTGTGATCCGTGGAAAAGCCTCGATCCCAGTTTTTGGGAATCCTCAATCCTTGTGCTGCTCCCTCAAATCCCAATCCCTGGGGTGACAATTCCATGGAGGGATTTTCCCATGAATGGAGCTGGGAAATTTGGGGATTAATTTGGGATTAATTTGGGATTAATCCCAATGCTTGGAGGGTCGGGAAATCCCTGGATTTGGGATTTCTGGGATGGGTGGGCAGAGCAGATTTTTTGGGATCAACCTCAGAATCTGGGATCATCCTTCATCCCAAACGAGGATCCCGTGGGATCAGCGGGTTCTGGGTGATCCCAAAGCTCATCCCAAATTTCTCCTGCCTTTTCCAGGTCCTGGTCACTTCCCTGGATGAGCAAATCCCAGGATTCCCAGCGTGCTGGAGGGTGCAGGACACGCTCCAGGCCCCATCCCTGCCCAGTTCCAGCATTCCCGAGAGATCCGTGTCCAGCAACATCGACGTTCCCAAAAGGTCAGTGCCTCTTCCTGGGATCCCAAATCCTGGGATATTCCCCAGTTTGGATCCCAAATCCTGGGATATTCCCCAGTTTGGATCCTAAATCCTGGGATATTCCCCAATTTGGATCCCAAATCCTGGGATATTCCCCAGTTTGGATCCTAAATCCTGGGTTTTCCCCAATTTGGATCCTAAATCCTGGGATATTCTCCAGTTTGGATCCTAAATCCTGGGATATTCCAGAGTTTCTCTGCCTGAGATTCCCGGTTTGGATCCCAAATCTTGGGATAGGAGTTTTTCCACCTGGGATTCCCCAGTTTGGATCCCAAATCCTGGGATATTCCCCAGTTTGGATCCTAAATCCTGGGATATCCCAGAGTTTTTTCCACCTGGGATTCCCAGTTTGGATCTCAAATCCTGGGGATCCCCAATTGATCTCTCGTTGATTTCCCATTGATTTTCTGTTGATCTCCCATTGATTTTCCCATTGATTTTCCCATTGATTTTCCCATTGATTTTCCCATTGATTTCCCATTGATTTTCCCATGGATCTCCCATTGATTTTTCCGTTGATATTCTCATTGATCTCCCATTGATTTTCCCATTGATTTCCCATTGATTTTCCCACTGATTTTCCCATTGATTTTTCCATTGATTTTCCCAGTGATCTCCCATTGATCCCCCATTGATCCCCCATTGATTTCCCATTGATATTCTCATTGATCTCCCATTGATTTCCCACTGATTTTCCCATTGATCTCTCATTGATCTCCTATTGATTTTTCACTGATTTCCCATTGATTTTCCATTGATCTCCCTTTGATTTTCCCATTGATTTCCCCTTGATCTCCCCTTGATCTCCCCTTGATTTCCCATTGATTTTCCCATTGATTTTCCCATTGATTTTCCCATTGATTTTCCCATTGATTTCCCGTTGATCCCCCATTGATTTTCCATTGATCTCTCATTGATTTCCCATTGATTTCCCATGGATTTCCCATTGATCTCCCATTGATTTTCCCATTGATTTCCCATTGATTTCCCCTTGATCTCTCATTGATTTCCCATTGATTTCCCATGGATTTCCCATTGATCTCCCATTGATTTCCCCTTGATTTCCCCTTGATCCCCCATTGATTTTCCCATCCCACCACCCCAGGGCGTTGTGGGAGGGAATATTTTGGTTTTCCCCCCGTCATTCCCGACGAATTCCCCGATTTTTCCGCGGCAGGAGGCCGGACGCGGCGGTGGAGATGGACGAGATGATGGCGGCCATGGTGCTGACCAGCCTGTCCTGCAGCCCTGCCCTGCACAGCCGTGAGTCCAGCCAGGAAAATCCATGGAAAATCCATGGAAAACACCCCAGGAAACTTGGGAATGTTCCCCATTCCCAGGGGATCGCGGGGGCTGGGGGTGGGAAAATCCGCCGGAGCGTTGGCGGCGCTGCCGAGGGGATTTGGGGTTCCTGTGGGAATGGGAAAAGCATTTCCAGGCAGGAATTCCCAAAAATCCAACCTGAAATACCCTGGGGGATTCCAAACCTTTCCAGGCAGGAATTGTTCCCAAAATCCAACATGAAACTCCCTGGGGGATTCCAAACCTCCTTTCCAAGCAGGAATTCCCAAAAATCCAACCTGAAATACCCTGAGGAATTCCAAACCTCCTTTCCCTGAAGGAATTCCCAAAAATCCAACCTGAAATTCCCTGGAACAATTTTGGGGAGAAATCCCAATCCCAACCTGTCAGGGAATTCCAGATCCGTGTCCCCAAGTGCCACATCCACAGGGATTTGGAATTCCTGTGGGAATGGGAAAAGCATTTCCAGGCAGGAATTCCCAAAAATCCAACCTGAAATACCCTGGGGGATTCCAAACCTCCTTTCCCTGAAGGAATTCCCAAAAATCCAACCTGAAATTCCCTGGAACAATTTTGGGGAGAAATCCCAATCACAACCTGTCAGGGAATTCCAGATCCGTGTCCCCAAGTGCCACATTCCTGCAGGAATTCCAAAGAATTTTGGAATCTGGGGAAGAAATTGTTGCCAAATATTCCACCCCAAAGTTCTCCTGGAACAATTTTGGGGATAAATCCCAACCCCAGGGAATTCCAGGGGTCGGGATTCCCTGGGGATCCTGGCATTGTCCCCTCACTGACAGTGTCCCCTCGGTGTCCCTTTGGTGACAGTGTCCCCTCGGTGTCCCCTCGCTGACGATGTCCCCTCGGTGTCCCCTCACTGACAATGTCCCCTCGGTGTCCCTTTGGTGACAATGTCCCCTCGGTGTCCCCTCGCTGACGATGTCCCCTCGGTGTCCCCTCCCTCAGCCTCGCTGGCAGCGGTTGGTGACCCCTGGAGGGACAGCGGGGACGTGTCCGACAGCGGCAGCAGCACCACCAGTGGCCACTGGAGCAGCGGGGGTGGCCACTGGAGCAGCGCTGGCAGTGCCACCGCGTCACCCCCACACTGCCCTGGCAGTGTCACTGCGTCACCCCCTCACTGTGGTGGCAGTGTCACCTCGTCACCCCCTCACTGTGGTGGCAGTGTCACTTCGTCACCTCCTCACTGTGGTGGCAGTGTCACCTCCTCACCTCCTCACCATGGTGGCAGTGTCACCTTGTCACCTCCTCACCGTGGTGGCAGTGTCACCTCGTCACCTCCTCACCGTGGTGGCAGTGTCACCTCGTCCCCCCCTCACCGTGGTGGCAGTGCCACGCCGTCCCCTCTGACCGACGATGGCTTCGACACCGACCCCGAGCCCTCCCCGCCCGAGGAGCCGGCGCCGCGCCGGAGGAAGGTGGGTGACAATGACAATGGCCTGGGGGACACCGGGAGTGGGTGACACTGGGCAGGAGTGACACCGGGAACGGGTGACACTGGGCAGGAGTGACACTGGGCAGGAGTGACACTGGGAACGGGAGACACCGGGAGCGGGTGACACTGGGCAGGAGTGACACCGGGAGCGGGTGGCACCGGGAGCGGGTGACACTGGGAATGGGTGACACTGGTGACACCAGGCAAGGGTGACACCAGGCAGGGTGACACTGGATGACACTGGGCTCGGGTGACACCAGACTCAGGTGACACCGGGCAGGGGTGACAACGTCGTGAGTGGCACCAGGTGACACCGGGCAGGGGTGACAGTGTCCTGGGTGGCACTGGGTGACACCAGGCAAGGGTGACACTGGGTTCTGGTGCCACTGGGCTCGGATGACACTGGGCATGGGTGACACCAGGCAGGGGTGACAGTGTCCTGGGTGACACCGGGTGACACTGGGCAGGGGTGACACCAGACACAGGTGACACTGTGCTCAGGTGACACTGGGCCCTGGTGACGCCGTTTTTGGGTAACACCAGACACAGGTAACACCATTTTTGGGTGACACCGTGCTCAGGTGACCCCAGGCAGGGGTGACGCCGTGCTCAGGTGACAGCGGGCCCTGGTGACGCTGGTTTTGGGTAACACTGGACACGGGTGACACCATTTTTGGGTGACGCCGGGCCCTGGTGGCTCCGTTTTTGGGTGACACCGTGCTCAGGTGACAGCGGGCAGGGGTGACACCGTGCTCAGGTGACAGCGGGCCCTGGTGGCGCCGTTCTTGTCCCCAGAACCCGTCCCGGCTGATGTTCAAGTGCCTCTGGCCCGGCTGTGGCAAAGTCCTGCGCTCCGGGGTCGGCATCAAACGCCACGTGCGCACCCAGCACCTGGGGTAAGGAATTCCCAAAATCCCAAAATCCCTGGGGTTTGTCCCTCTGGAATTCCCAAAATCCCAAATTCCCACCCCAAATTCCCTGGGGTTTTTCCCTCTGGAATTCCCAAAATCCCACATTCCCTGGGGTTTGTCCCTCTGGAGTTCTCAAAATCCCAAATTCCCTGGGGTTTTTCCCTCTGGAATTCCCAAATCTCAAATTCCCCAAATCCCAAATTCCCTGGGGTTTGTCCCTCTGGAATTCCCAAAATCCGTGGGGTTTGTTCCCTGTCTCCTGTCCCCGCAGGGATGGTGGCATTGTCCCCTCAGTGTCCCCTCTGTCCCTTTGTCCCCTCTGTCCCTTTGTCCCGCCAGTGTCACCTCTGTCCCCTGTCCCCTCAGTGTCCCCGCTGTCCCCTCAGTGTCCCCTCTGTCCCTTTGTCCTCTCTGTCCCTTTGTCCCGCCAGTGTCACCTCTGTCCCCTGTCCCCTCAGTGTCCCCGCTGTCCCCTCAGTGTCCCCTCTGTCCTTTGTCCTCCCGGTGTCACCTCTGTCCCCTTGGTGTCCCCTCAGTGTCCCCACTGTCCCCTGTCCCCCCGGTGTCCCCGCTGTCCCCTTTGTCCCCTCGGTGTCCCCGCTGTCCCTTTGTCCCCTCGGTGTCCCCTCGGTGTCCCCTCAGTGTCCCCTGTCCCCGCAGGGACGGCTCCGTGTGGGAGCAGCGGGAGCGTGAGGAGGATTTTTACTACACCGAGGTGCAGGCCCGGGAGGAGCCGCCCGCCGAGCTGCCACCCCCGGCTGTCCCCAGCGTCACCAGTGTCACCAATGTCGCCTCTGTCACCAACGTCACCGGTGCCACCTGCTCTGCCCCCATCGTCATCCAGCCCAGCCCGTGCCAGCCCGGCCTGAGCCACTCGGCCCCCGGCTCCTTCTGGCACATCCAGGCCGACCACGCCTACCAGGTGAGGGGACAGCGCGGGGACAGCGTGGGGACACTGAGGGGACATCCATGGGGACAGCCCGGGGACAGCATCCATGGGGACAGCACGGGGACAGCCTGGGGACACTGAGGGGACAGCCTGGGGACACTGAGGGGACAGTACGGGGACAGCCTGGGGACACTGAGGGGACATCCATGGGGACAGCACGGGGACAGCCATGGGGACAGAGCTGGGGACAGTGTTGGCATAGACTGGGGACATCCATGGGGACAGCGTGGGGACATCCATGGGGACAGCACGGGGACAATGTGGGGACATCCATGGGGACAGAGCTGGGGACAGTGTGGGGATTGAGTGGGGACATCCATGGGGACAGAGTGGGGACAGTTTGGGGACAGAGCAGGGACAGCGTGGGGACAGTGCAGGGACATCCATGGGGACAGTGCGGGGACAGCGTGGGGACATGCATGAGGACACAGCTGGGGACAGAGCTGGGGACATGGATGACATTGCAGGGACATTGCTGGGGACATCAGTGTCATCACAGGGGGCATGGCTGGGGACAGAGCTGGGGACATCCCAGGATTTGTGTCCCTGTTCTTGTCCCTGTCCCTGTCCTCTGCCTTTCCCTGGCTCAGGGATTTGTGTCCCTGTCATGTGTGTCCCCTGCGTGTCACCTGCATGTCCCCTGTGTGTCCCCTGCGTGTCACCTGCCCTGCTGTGGCTCCCAGCTCTGTCCCCATGACTGCCCCACCCACAGATCCTGGGGCTGGAAATTTGGGAATACGGAGCTGTGACCTTCCCCCATGAGCACCCCCGTGTCCTTGTCCCCAAGGAGTGTCACACGTCCCAGGGAATGTCACATCCCAGGAATGTCACACGTCCCAGGGAATGTCACATCCCAGGAATGTCACACGTCCCGGGAATGTCACATCCCAGGAATGTCAGTGCCATCAGCAGGACCGACACATAAATGGGTGGAGGAACAAAAATGGCCGGGATTTGGGGCTTTGGGGTGCAGGAGTGGAGAGGCCACCATGTCCCCAGCGAGGTGACACCGGTGCCACACCCCGTGTGACAGCGGGAGGGAGGTGACAGCGATTCCCAGACCTCATCCTGTCCCTTTTTGTCCCTCCAGGCGCTGCCCTCCATCCAGATCCCGGTGTCCCCTCACATCTTCACCAGCATCAGCTGGGCCGCTGCCACCCCCACCCTGCCATCATTGTCACCGTCCCTGTCACCGGTGAGTGTCACCCCCACCCTGCCATCATTGTCACCATCCCTGTCGCCGGTGAGTGTCACCCCCACCCTGCCATCATTGTCACCATCCCTGTCACCGGTGAGTGTCACCCCCACCCTGCCATCATTGTCACCGTCCCTGTCACCGGTGAGTGTCACCCCCACCCTGCTGTCCCTGTCACTGTCAGTGTCACCTGTGCCCTGGAATGGGCAACCCACCATGAGCCAGTGCTTCCTTTTTTCCTCCATTTCTCTTCCTTTTTTTCTCTTTTT